AAGCGGCAGCCCTGGCACTTGCTACCTAGGATGTATGTTTTGGTGGTATAAAATAACTTTATTTCCTTTTTTTATTTTATTAAAATTATTTGTATTTATTTATTTTATTATTTTTGATTTTATTAGATATTTCTTTATTTATTTTATTTAGTTACATTTTAAAAATATTGACCTAATTTCTGCTTTGAGCGGCAGCACTGGCACTGGGGCCCAGTTAGAACTCTGAAACTGAGGAGCCCCCAACGTTTTATGGGTGAAATATAAACTCTAATGGATTTCATTTGAATGGTTTACATTGAATTAATGGACAAGGCCCAGAAAGCTGGCTCCAGTGGAGTTTTCCCAAAGAAATTGCAGGCAGATACACATCGAGGAGGGGGAGGAGGAGGAGCCTTGAATAGTGATAGTTGCCTTTGAGCAGGTGATGGATGGAAGTTTTCAAGGAAGTTCAGGGGAAACCTGCTCAGAAATGGTACTTTCACAAGGAAAACAAAAAATTATAAAAAAAATCGAGGCATTCGTAATTGTTTATTTTGAATGCTTGTGTTTTTTTTTTTCGGGAAGGAAACCAAGAAAATGTTTATTTAAACTTGCCAATTAATTGCTCTAATAAACTTTTCGGAAGCGATAGTACTTTTCCACATTCTAATTGGCTGGAAAAACAAACTTTTTTTGGTGAATGAATTCATTGTTTTTGTTAATGATAAAAGATAAGGTAGAAGAATTCCTAGCAATTTTCTCAGTCTCTTGAAGAATTTCTTAACTGTAAGTCGCAGAACTTGGCCGTTGCACAATTTCCCCGATACAATTTCACCATGGAACACGAATGATCGTGTTTCGATCGCCCACTCATTCATACATCTGTTCCTCCCCCCCATTCTCCTTCCTCTTCCACTTCCTCTTGGCCTGAAACAAAGGCATGCAGCAGAGTTGCCTCCTTCTCTCTTCTATCCAACATGTTGCTGGCTCTCTTATACGCAACATGTTGGAACAGCTGTTCAGTTCAGTATGCAACATTTGAGAGCCACAACATGTTGGCTGGTATAAGAGCCTCTCCGCTCTCTCCATCTCTTTAGCTTTTCTTCGCTTTATGGCAGCAACATTGTTGTGTCCACTGTGCGGATATATCTGGCAGATACTTAGATACGCGGTTACGCGGACCCTAAGATACTCTCGAACGCAGAGATACTGGGACTGCGACTGTCGTTTTGTTATTATGCGGCAGGCGTCGTCTTCCGAATGTGCAATGTTCCTAGTGCACTTAAAAAAACGTAGTGCAAGAATAAGTAAAGCTAATTTCTATTTTTTTATTTTTAATTTATTGGAGATTTTAATGGCGAATTGGAATATAGATGTTTGTTGGCAAATTATTCGCATTTTGGGCCAATTTCTTCAATCGATATTTATCGACATATTTTAAGAAAAAGAAAATCTATTAAAATCATAACATTCATTTAAATTAAAAAAGCTGTTCTTTATTTTTTAGTAGGTAAATAAATCTTATCAATCTTTTAATGACTTACAAGTTTTTGTTTAATTCAGAAATGTTTGTTGTATAAAAATTATAGTGATAAAAATAATTAAACTAATTTTCCCCTCTGTATCTTTAACCCTCTGACGGCCCCAACTCTTGGCTTGTGCCTCTGCTCCTGCTTTCTTTCGGATTACTCAATAAACTTACAACTACAAGAAGCCACTTTCCGTTTTCCGCTTCCCTCGATGTACCTCGCTTATTTCGTATGCGAAGAGTGTGCCTTTGCAAGGGCTAAGGGGCTGTTCTTGCTTGGGAGGGGAATTGTCCTAGGTCCAAAGTCTTGGAATGCTTTACAGAGCGATTCCCCAGCTGGAATTAACTTCTCTTGGCCACAGCCGTGATCAGTCGCAGGTTGAAAGTCCAGGCCCAGAGCGGAACTAGCCAAAATATTTATTTACTCCTGCCTTTTATTGCTTGTTTTTTGTTTCTCCTTTGGGTGCCGTCATAAACAACAAGTAGTGTTTGTGCCGTTGAAAACTCGAATATAAACTTTCGGCTCTTTGTTTATGCATATTTATAGAAATATAGAACATTAATATATTTTTGGGAAATGGTTAAAAACCTATTTTTGTTTGCTGATGACGATTTGCTAACGCAAAAGTGCTAATTGCAGGCAATGAGCTGGCGGTGCTGTATATTTCCAGCACTAAGGGCATTATTTAGACCTGTTTTGATTTAGTTTTTACACAATAGAACTTTGAAATTCATTTCTTTAACTTTGTGGTAAAACATTAAATATTCTATAACCCAGTTAATACTATAGCTCAATCCATGTCCTTTTCTTCATATTTTCTTTAACAATTATTTCATTTTTTTTTTTCATTTTCCCTGTCTGTCTGTTTCCTCGAAGTATAAGTATTATTACCGAGGGGGTTCAGATCACGTCATAATAATTATTATAACAAGCTGAAGGATAATGCAAAGGAAGCATTGCGAAAAGGAATAAGAAGTTGCCGAGAAAGGCTGTGCAGTGCAAGATGTTGCAGCAGCGAAATTCGAGCAGCGGCATGTGGCAGCGACTGAGGCAGGTGAGGACCTAAAAAAATTATATTTGCCTCAAAATCCTTGATTTCCTTACTCTCTTCCTGTCAAAGGATATTTTGCCAGGGCTGTCGTCTCTCTTGCTGTCCTTCTCTTTGCATTTCCTCATCTCTTTCTTTGGCACGAGCAGTTAGGAAAGTAAACAATATAGCAGGTACAGTGAGAACTGTCTTCAGAGACAAGTTGTTGATACGTGGCATTTCTGATATTGATTATTGATTATAATAAATCTCATTGAATCCCGTAAAAAAAACTGATAAATACGTTGAAAAAAATTACTTTTAGAGCTCATTTGCTTGCTGAATTTATTATTTATTCGTTAGCTGTATCGAGGTCGCCCTGTATCAACTCCTCCAACTGCTCATGTTTCTTTGTTACTGTTATTCTGGCTGCCCATGTCGAACATCTGTTTTGATTCGCTCTGTCTCTGTCGCTCGCCCGCTTTAATCGCATTTTATTGGATTTTATTTTGCGTGCGTTAAATCGCCTAATCGTCTTTCCCCCCTCCCCATACCCCCTCCCTCCCATCCCTTGGCCCACTCTCGTCGACGTACTTTTTTCGGCTTATCCGCGCATTTTGCATAAATCGCTTTTCGCCTTTGCTTTTTCGTCTGCTGTTTGAATTTGTTTGATTTTGAGGCTCCTTGTTGTTTTTGTTATTTTTATTGTACTTTTTCTTTGCGCAATATTTTCACCTTGTTTTTGTATGTAGTATTTTTGGTTTTATGATTTTTTCTTTGTTTTCCTTTCATTTTCTTTTTATATGTACTTTTTTTTGCTCCTCCGAGGGACGGCAATTAAGCCAAAAGAAAAAAATAAATGGGCGAGAGTGGAAATGAGCAGCGAAAAAATATACAAAACAAGATAAATAATAACAACTTAAAAAAAGTGTCTTTTTTCGCCAATGCAATTTTTATGAGCAAATGTTTTTCTTGTGTTTTCTTTATTTTCTTCTGTTTTTTTAACGACTCGACATAAAAATTGGATTGGATTGAGAGTGTTTTCTTTCGCGGCGGCGTTAGAAAAACACACAAGAAATTAATTATAAGCTCTTTAAGAGCCTTTAAATAATTGAAAAGAGTTAATTTGGCACCTAGATTTTATAACTCTTATTAAAGTTAAATCAGCTTCAAATATTGCTTTAAATTCCTACAGCAATTAAGAAAGTGATTGAGCTCACAGCAGCACCCACATACTATCGGGTTCGGGAAATCCCTAGACCCCCGTTCAACTGCCACTTAATTCCGCTTGAAATCTACGCAGATTTTAGAGCGCCCCTCATCAGCTGTCAGACATCTTTGATGAAGATATTTCTGCAATTGTTCGGGTTTTCTTTTTTTTTTCTCCCAGTTGTTATTTCTTCTCGAAATTGTGTTCGATATGTTAACAAGTCGCGGGACAATAGAGAGCTGGCTCTCCGTCCCCGGAGATTCCAGAGATAGCCCACATAAGTGAGTGTATCTCTGGGGCCTCGTGGTATCTTGTATCGCGCATATCTGTATCTGATGAATGCACCTTTTGACACCCAATAAACAAGGCGAAAAACAGCAGCTGAGTTCAAAGTGATTCGATTTCAACGGTTGTTTTTTTCTATACTTTGGGAGGAGGCAAGCGAGTGCTAATCGAGAGGGAAAGTAGTTAAATTGATGCTAATATGATGCTATATGTAATTGGAGTTAATCTATAAGGTATTTGAATTTCAAATTATAATTAATAATGTTGTACAAATTTGACTAGTTCTTTAACTTTTTAAGTTTAACAGAAATAAAATTAAATTTTTAAATAATCCCAAACGATTTTCCTTGTTTATTTTCCTTATTTCAAAAACATATCAATTAAAGCTAATTGAAAAAGTGAAAATACAAAGCTGGTATAGGAAACAGAGCCGAGGATAAGACGTTCGTTTGGGAGGACCTTGCGGGGGTTGTGCTAACTTAATGACCAACTTGTTAATTACTGTTACCCCCGGCGGCTGCATCTCCGTCGAGCACCTGCAGCTGCCGCTAAATGTCGATGGACTCCTTTTCGGTTTACCGTTCCACGAAGGTACAGAAAGCAAAAAGGAAACAAAAGGAAGAAATAAGCTAAAAGCCACGACAAAGGAAAACTTGGCAACGCTTTCGAACCTCGAACATGTTTGCTGCACCTGGCCAAAAGCCGGGGGTACGAGTCAAGGGGTTTATTTCAGTTTTTTTTCTTTCTTTCCGTTTCGGTTTCTGTTGGTGTTACCTTGGCCAGCCGGAGCCGGCTTTTCGAAAGGGGTGAAAATGTAATAAAACACAACTAACACTGGCGCACAAAGCACTACACTACACACGGGTTAACCCTCGCGAGGAGGAACCCCTCCTGGCCCGGCCCGGCCCGGCACTTTGCGAATCTATAAAAGTATCGGGCCGCATAAAAAACGAGCTCAGTTGTGAACGGTACTTTGTAACGGCAACCGGCGGAACACGCGCGCCACTAACAGTTCGGAAAAACATATAGAGGAATATCCGAGGAAAGCTCAGGGGAAAACTATAGCAACACTTTATTTCGTATTGCCAAAAAAGAAAGAAAGAAAATGTATTACTAGGATTTACCAGGAGAAGCTGCATCTCTTCGCAACCCCTACAACTTGTGAGCCGCCCCTCGAATGTCCTGAACAAGTCAACACATCTATTTAGACCATCCTCCCAGATCGGTAAGTCATAACACTTTGCCACCCCATCACTTCTATAGCTCAGTCTCGGAAAAATCCCCATGAAAACATCAACACAAAAAAAAAAAAGAATAAATCCATCGGCTTAAAAGTTGCAAAACTCAATGCCAAAAAGCTGAACGTATTTGACTGGAGTGTATGCACTGGGAAAAAACTACTGCTTAAGTTAAGAAATTAGAAATAGATTTTAAAATTGAAGAGAAAGGCTTTACAGCTGTTTCAGAAGGCAGGATGATTACAAAGACATGGCAAGGGTTGCAGTTGGAGACGAAGCAAAGCTTTTGATTGTTTAGATTAAAATTGTTCAATTGTAACAAATAAATATTAGAATAGAATAGCTGAAACTATACCAAATATAATGCTTAATCGAATTTCCAATTTCCCTCTGGTCTAAGGACCCCTTTTATTTCCCAGTGCATACAAATCTGCATTTGTCAGTGCAGCAGCAGCTTCAGCATCGGTATCTGTGTCTGCTTTGTATCTTCTGGGTTGTAAAAACATCTGTGCTTGTCGTTCGCCATCCGTATTAGTGGCTGTGACTGTGACTATAGCTCTGGCTTTCGCCCTGGCACCCTTGCCCTTTGGAATGTCCAGCTGCATTTCCTTTTGCCACCCACCTTACTCGCATTGCGTATACGCAGTGTTTGCCCTGATTTGTAGGATAGCGAGTAAAACGCGAATTACATCGAGCTGTCAGCAAATGGAAACCACTTTTCTCCCCCTAATATATAAACTGAGTGTGTATAGTATAGAGACTGTGGCTGTGGGCTGCCCTGCTCCATATTTCTCGATATCTTTTGTGGGGATCTTGGACAAGTGCTACTTCTGTTGGCCAACTTCTTGGCCACTGGCGCAGACAGTCGCTCGATGTCTTTTGTCTTGATTTTTTTTTTTCAGTAAATAAAAATAAGAAGCACAAATCGAAGAAACATGGGAGACGTGAGTGCGTGTAGGCAGAGGAGTGGCCAACGATCGATGGAGAGGTTGGCTGTCTAAAAAAGTAGAGCCGCCGCCGCTGGAGCTACTGCTCCACGTGGGAGGGACGGGCACCCAGCTCAAGTCCCAGTTTGGACACCAACCAAGTTTGGCTCACTTTTGTTTACACTCTTGCCATGATTTATTTACGCAGTCTGCAGTCTTCCCTCCCCCAAAGTATTTCATTCAATCGAAACGATGCGAATTTTATTCACTTTTCACTACGAAAAGTTTTCCCCAATGAAGAAGATACGCATTCGGAGTCGGTTTCTGGCTTCATAAATCATAGACGCACTCAATGACGTTGCCTTGGGCTTCTGCCTCTCTGGCTGAGTTTTTTGTGTCGCCTTTTTTTTCGGCTTCTCGCTTTTTGTACATTGTTTATTGTCGAGTGCAATGGAAAATACGAAAAAATTAATGCGTTGGCTATTTTTAAAAAAATCATACGCAATGCATTTTAATTTTTCTGTCGGCTCTCGTTCATTTTTTGTTTGTAAATAAACGTTTTTTTTTAATTGTGTCAAGTTTGCTTTTTTACAACAAGCCAGAGAGATGGGTTGAGCGGGGCAAGAAGACCCAAAGACCTGGTTTCTTAATGGCTTAGTTTTGTTTACCGATTTTTGGGTTACTTTTCCTTTGTGGAAAACTTATGAACAACAAGCGATACAAGTAAAAGTTTTCTAAGGCAAGGGGGAGCAGTATCTGGAGCTCGAAATTAAGATCACCATAAAACTTGCAAAACTTTAATTACTATTTATACTTCCTCCGCCCCCGCCACTTCCTTCCTCTGAACTTCTGACTGACTTTTGGCATTAAATCCATCAAGCGATTTGTATTTCTCTCAAATGTGAACTTTCAAGGCGAGAGATTTCAGCGCAAAGTCAAGAGTTTATAGTATTTAATCATTCTTAAGGCCCCCCGCCAACCCCCTTCTGCCCTTCGGACCACCACCTTTGACCTTCATTAGTGTCAGACCCTCTCGCATTCGCATTAATCTAAGCAGACAGTCCGGACTGAGCTGCCAAGACAATGGCTCAGTCAGGCAGTAGTTTGTAGTTTGTATTCTGGTTAAGCCCGGCCAGAGATGCAGATACAGATACAAATACAGATACATGTACTTTGGCAAAACGCACCCAAATCAGAGCAGTTTATGTGCCTGAGATATTAAGACAAACTTGAGAACAATGAGCTGACAGCAGAGTAATAAAAATCCAACTAAAATCATACATCCTTCAGCAAGAGCCCTTCTAAATTTTATAGATGCATAGATACATGGTATCCACATCCATAAGATACCGCGCTCACACGATACAGAGCCAATAAATTAAGTGCCATTTTATATGCTGATGAAACTTAATAAATTCCACTAAATTCCACTGACGAATTGTGTAACCATTTGAGGTTGAAACGCCGCCAGAAGTTACACTTCGCCCCCGTCCGAGCAGCTGCCACGCCTCCTCCTTTTCAGTGGCGCCGCGGAGTCTCAGGGCGACACAAACAACACACAAAAGACTTCAAGTGGCGTGTGTGTTGTTGCACAAAACCGAAGCGAAAAGTCCGAAAAAACAACGGAAAACTGAAGGAAAAACCTTCGCGGCGGAAAAATAAAACAAAAAAAAAGAAGCAGAGCAACGATGTGAAAAGTTGAATGCCTAACAAGTTGAAACACGCTGAAAATGCGAAGAAAAAAAAATAAAAAACAACAACCCGTCGCACAACAAATAAATAAAAGAAAAACAAAAGCCCAAAGATGGAGCACCCAGCAACAATAATAACAAGAACAATGACTTGGAAAATGTGGAAATGTCTTGGGAACCTTGCAAAATGGATGAAGCGAAGCTGTCGCTGCTTTGTTGCTTTGCTTTGCTGCTCTGCTGCTTGGCCGCCGCTGCAGTTTGTTGAATTAGATAAAAGTTTAGGAAATGTTTATGCCAAAACTAAGGGCGCAGATGAATAGGGCGCAGGAAGTTTCCCTTTTTCCGGCCAAGAATACTCTGATGAAGTTGCCATGGCTGTGATGGCCGGCAAAAAACCCAAGAAAAATGGTTTTCTAGGTTCAGAAACTTGAGCAGTTCGAACAGCTCAAAGAAACTGCAAGTAATGTGAAGTTATTGGAGGGGAAAAATTCCTTAAAAATCGGATTTAGGTGTAATAATATTTAAATTAATAAAATTAATTATATTTTATATTTTAATAATTTTTTAAATTGTTAAACAAGATTGAATTGTTAAAAATCTAAAATGTGTATCAGCATATTATATATTTATTTAAGTTTTCAATTATTTAAATACCTAGACAACCATTTTTGTAAACGTAATAAATTTTTAAAATTGTTTTCTCTATTAAATAATTGTTTTATATAAAAGTTATTGTAATTAAATCAAAGCCAACTCTCTTATAAACATTTCCAGGGTACCCCCTTCTTAGTGCTAACCTTTTTTCCTTAAAAAAATATATATACATAGTTAGGGGAAATGGCAAAGGTAAAGGTAGGATAAGGTGCTCTCTGGCAAATGGCAGGCGGAAATGCACCGAAAATAAATGTGGGTAAAAATACCAAGAAAAAATGTGTGCTGCATGTGGCGACTTCTACTTCTACTTCAGCCTTCTTGCAGGTTGTCTGCACGTAAATACATATATTTCACACCGAAATCTCAGAGGGGGGGACAGGGGGCTAAAAATGCCTAACCAGCGCAATAAGCAAATGCAAATGCAAATGCGAAATATGAATCACAAGAATCAGCGGCGAAAAGCACACAGCCAAAGCCAAAGCCACAGCCAGCCAAGGGAACTCCGCACACTCATCGCTTATCGGTGATTTCCCCCGCCTTTTGGCTCACCTGCCACAGCCCCCACCTGTCTCGGCACATTCATTCATCAATGCTCTGTTCGACTGAGGTGAAAATTTCGAGCGCGCGCCCGCGAAACGCCGGAAAATAAAAAAAAGAGGGAGAAAAGGCAGAACAAAAAGGTAAGAAGCGAAAGAAGAGCGGGCCAAGATAAGACAACAAAGATTCTCGAGCTGGCGATAAACAAAAACAAAACAAATTGGCAACAGCAACAACAAATATCTACAGCAACGAAAAAGTGCAAAAGAAAAAGTACTGCAATGCAAACTGCAAACAAACAAGCAGAGAGAATGCATCCCACAGTTACAGATACATTTGCAGATACAGTGTGGCCACCCCTGGGGGTATCTTTAGGATTCTTTGTGGAAGCTCTATTTTGGGGAGTTTCTTACAATGGAAAAAGAGTATCTAATGGTCAAAATAATTATAATTTGAAGAACAAATAAGATAACTACAAGTAACACTTTCTTCCCAATTCCAAGTTCCTAAAAATTCATCAGTAAAAGATTTCAGAAAATCCGTTAACTGGTTCTAGTTGAATATCTTCTGCGAAATCTGAGATATTCACGCTTCCAGAAGAGATGTAAAAATCAGATACAGCCGCTTACAAGACAGTAAACGCTCTCATCACTGGGAGATTAATCATTTCCGCTGTGCTACTTATCGAATAAAAATGTCTAAAATAAATAAATAAAATAAGCAAGTAAGTCTTTTACTCAATGAATGACCACTGTGGGCCTGCCGGCTGCAACACTTACGTGTGAAACGACACTAAACCGTCTCAACAAATTCTGTTGATACTGCAGCCAAAAAATAAAGAAAAAAAATAAAAATCAAAGCGCATAAATCTGGCGAAAAGTGAAACGGAACCCCGCCAGGGTCGCCGCATTCTATTAGAGAACCGAATCGAGCCAGAGGTGAGTCAGGCCCACGCAATGCGAACGAACACCTGAAATCCGCCAAACGATAAGAGACTCAGGCTCAGGTGAGGAGGGATTTGGATTCCGGAGGGGGGCCCAAAACGGGTTTCTCGCGAAGCGTGGGTCCGCGTCTTTGACGTCAGCAATTGAAGTTGGTCTTTGTAGTTGACAACTAACAGATATCAGAGCCGAGCTATTGACACAATTTGTATATAACACGGATAGGGGGTATTTCCTA